CAGTACAGCGAGTTTGATCGAATCATGCTCCTTGGCATGAAGTCTACATTTGAGCGAAAATGGGCTTCTTTCTGCGAAAAGCAGTCTGCGGTTTCCAATCAGCTGCCTTGGCTTGATATCTCTCATGACTTACGCAAATCTTTCATGGAACAGATCATCAATGGGCTGCCAGATCGAGACATTTCTGCTCGTATCGAAGCGTTAGAGGTTATTTGCTATGCATTGACTGGTATTTGGGGTAGTACTGCTGGAAAAGCAGTCCCTGACTACCCAGAAGATCTGCCCCCGCAGGCAGTCACAGATACACCAAAATCAAAATCACTGCAAATCATATGGATGCAGAGAAACGCTGAGCTTGTTAATGAATGTTCAGGACTTGGTCCATTGCTCAGTTGTCTGTGCAAAGCTCTTGAGAAGAATCGAAGCTCGCCCAATCCCGAGTTGGATGGTCTGGACTCGAGCTCGGATTCCGCAAATGTCGCTGCCTCAGAACATGAAGTGAACCTTGTGCTTACGGCTTTATACATCATCGTAGAGATTGGCCGAAGACAAGAGAAACATGATCCTCAAAATTTCCCCCTGCGCGATGCGCTCATGGGCTTGAAGCCTAACCTGCCAGTCTTTCTTGTCGAGGTCATCGCACGACTGCGGTGGGACGATTCAGCAAACATTCCGCTCACGCGGATCATCCTCCTTTTCTGGAAGTCTCTTCTCCTCTTCTTTGGGGGAAGCGAGAGCTTGAAGAGAGCCAAGGAAGAGTTAGAGCCGCGAATGGAGGCACGGGAAAACTCTCCCAACAGGAGGACACCATTTCTGACTGCTTCCCCCCTGGATTACCACCTGTTCCGGCAGGAGATCACGTCAAAATACCCTGCTTACAACCCCCCGCTGCCAGTCGTTCCTCTGGAGCTCGAAAATAACTCGATTCTCCCTCCTCTTCCTCAGCATCCTAGCCGCACCAGCTCATCCACCGGTCTCTTTTCCGGAGTAGGTCCTTCTGTGGCTGGTGGGAACGGCTCTATCCTCCATCAGTCTGTCCACATTGCTACACCGGCTCCATCACCTCCACCGTCACCTATAGGACCCGGTGGCAAAGCGGGCAAGAAGCAGAATTACCAGACGAACCAGAACTTTCCTTTTATGTATCCTCCTTTGGATGACTCGAGCAACGATATCGGCGGAAGAGGCAGCACTGAACGGCAAGATGCACTCGTGGGAAAGCGATGGGAAGGAAGCGATGTACCGGCGTCGATTATTGAGGCCGGAAAGCTCTTCTCTACTCACGTCAAGATGACGAGAGCAATGCGCCAGCTGTGGGAAGAAAGAGAGCGTTTCATGAAATATGACCGTGGCTGGTATCTTGACGAAAACTCAACTGGCTCAGACGAGGACCCCTCTGGTGACCTTGTTGAGGGCTTGCAAGACCTGAGTTTAGAGGAGAGAAGAAAGTCGAGTCCCATTTGGGTTCCACAGAGGGAAACCGATAATGATGATATACAGCGACGCTTAGATGCTGTCGAATCATTCTACGTACGTGCTCCCCCGTCTTTAACATTGTTGACATACTGACGCCTTGATAGTCCCAGGTATTGGTGCACCTACAGTCGATCACAATTGTCTTCTTGAAGATCATTTTGACCAATGTCAGTGCTATGGTTAATCAAGCGAATGGTCAGAATGGACATGCTATGAGGTATGTTGCAGACAACCTGTCGACAAAACAGGAAGAATAGGAAATGGCTGACTTGACGGTTAGTGATGGCTACGGGGCCGCCAGTGGGTTTCCAGCTGCACCCAATAGCTTCTCGGATAGTTTTAATGCCGATGCTGCCATTGAGGAACTTGACAACATCCGCCTGCGAGAAATTACAGGGAAGGCTATATCGGGATCCTTGTTGCTCATGTTGAAGTGGTTCAAGAGATCTCGTAAGTTACGACATCGAGGCCTATGCGAGATGGTTTCTAACAGGCTATAGATATATTAAAGTTCGAGTATATGACGCAGCTTTTGCTCGACTCGAACTATTTACCCCTGGTTCTGAAGATGTTCGCGCATCAAGACATCGACCAGGCGATAGCACAGAAGAACGACCGTGAAGAACTAGGGTAGGTGCTCGTCAAGCACTGATCACGAGGGAGACACTAACTCTGAACAGTTTCTTTCACTTTTGTCATGTTCATTCCGATCAGCCACCGAATTCAGCTGATAATTCAGACGAGGACTCATCACCGAGTGAAGATGAAGCCGTGCCCCCGCCTATTCTTCGGCACCGCCGTGACACGGATCCGGGCACCTCCTCGGTACGACCCTCGTCTCCCCAGGAGGGTCTCCCCGAACTGGTAGAAGGCCCCCATCGGCCTGAAGTTGACGAACTGGGATTTCCGACTGCTCCTCCGCCGAAAGAGCCCATCACGGTGTTCTCGTTTCGGAACTTCTTCTCTGCCATAAATTACCTTCACATCATGCAGAAGATCACGCGGGACAAGGCACACAGATGTCTGCTACTTGTTCAGTACAAGTCCAGCACGATCTTACGAAAGGGGCTCAAGATTCCTGATCCCCACCTGCGATTCTACACCTTGAAATTGTTCAAATCTCAGGTACCCTACTGCGGCCGCAAGTGGCGCCAGAGCAACATGCGGGTCATCACTGCAATTTATCTATACTGCCGCCCGGAGCTACGGGATGACTGGCTGGCTGGGTCAGATATTGACGCAGAAGTGGAGGAGGCATTGCCACTGGAACAAGCCCTCAGAGGGCTGACACACTGGTGGCACCTACGTCGATACACGGACGTGATGGGCGGCGAAGAAGGTGCGTCCATGATGGAAGAAGAGCGGGACTTCTTCGTACGCGAGTTGGAAGCTATGGGTTGGGGGTTTGCTGGTGAGGAAATGATGAACGAGGAGGCGGAAATGGCTGCTAACGGAGCCATGATGAATGGGGCGGAATGGGATGGTGGCCCTTTACAGATGGAAGGATGGTGATGTAAATATCTTTTAGCGTTGAGGAAACATATTGCCGCTGCATTTTGTTGAAATGGCCATCATAATGCGTCGCATATAGGTAGCTCCAGCTGGCTCTAATAAATAGAGCAACAAATAGATCAGAGTTGATAACGATAAGCCGGCAATCGATAAGCGCCGACCACGTGACCGACTGCTACCGCAACTTTTTTTTTCCTCTCTGCGGAGAAAATCAACTTTCGATCCATAAGGTCAACAGAAAACCATTCTACCTCTGAACAGGCTAGGCTGTGTCAAATCCGGTGCACGTAGCCGCCGGAATCGAATATCATGTCTTCCGACGAGATTGTCTGGCAGGTTATCAACCAGCAGTTCTGCTCGTACAAGCTCAAGTGAGTGAAACCCAGGAAGCGCTCGTCGAGTTCGCCGCCCGCGAAAAACAAGATCTCGGCGATGAAATTACATGCACGTACTAATACCACATGACTCAGGACAACCAAAGGTCAGAACTTCTGCCGCAATGAGTACAATGTCAGCGGTCTCTGCAATCGCCAGTCTTGCCCGCTGGCCAACTCGCGGTACGCTACCGTGCGGTCGGATCCGGAGACGGGCGTTATGTACCTGTACATGAAGACGATCGAACGAGCCCACATGCCCAGCAAGCTCTGGGAGCGGATCAGGTTATCGTCCAACTACGCCAAGGCGCTCGAGCAGCTCGACGAGCGACTGATCTACTGGCCCAAGTTTCTTGTTCATAAGTGCAAGCAGCGTCTCACACGGCTGACGCAGGTGGCTATTCGGATGCGGAAGATCGCTGCTGAGGAAGAGCGGCTGGGGGAGAAGATTGTGCCGAAGCTGGCCCCAAAGATCCGGCGGAGGGAGGAGACGAGGGAGCGCAAGGCTGAGTCGGCTGCCAAGGTTGAGCGGGCGATCGAGCGTGAGCTGATTGAGCGGTTGCGGAGCGGCGCTTACGGTGACCGGCCCCTCAATGTTGAGGAGGGGATCTGGAAGAAGGTCCTACGCGGTTTGGAGCGCACTGGTGAGGGTGAGCGGGACGAGGACCTCGACGACGGTGAAGAGATTGAGGATGAAGAGGAAGAGGGCGTCGGTGAGGTGGAGTACGTCAGTGATCTTGAGGAGGACGAGGACCTCGAGGATATCGAGGACTGGTTGGGCGGAGACTCAGCCGGCGACTCGAGTGATTACGATGATGACGAGGAGGATGAGGACAGTGACGAGGAGAGCGACGCAGAGGACCAGTCCAGCGATGAGGAGGCCAAGAAGCCCAAGCCTGGGTCCAAGAGAAAGCGTGCTGCACCGCAAGCAAAGCCGCGGAAGAAGGGTGCTCGGGTCGAGATCGAATACGAAACCGAAGGAGCGGGCAAGGAGAGTATCCTGGCTTAGATGCAATCACTCTCGTCGGGGCAGTGAAGGATATAGAAGAAAAAGTAATTGGTTTGAGCTACATTTACGGCGTTTTGGTTTTTCCTTGCAACTTACTCCTGCGATCGGGGCTTGTCATACCCAGTCATTGCATCCACTTGTTTAACGACTGATTTTGAAGCTTCAAGAGAATATTTTGTTCGACAACATGTACAGAGCCTAAGAGGATTATCCAAATATGCATCATGTCTTGTCGGAATATCTGCCCGTGTAAGTAGGTTACCTTAGTGTTAAGTGATTTCTCCACGTTCAGGGACTCACGTGCGGCGGTAACTGGATCCGCCGTTGAAACACGCCAGTCCGTAGAGACACGGTGATCTATCTGTCTGATCGCAAAGAAACCACAGTTGCTTTACCACTGGATTCCCATAGACCTCAGAGCTTCAATGCGCCGCTGACGATTAAAGTTCACACAATCCCATTATCCTGAACCTGCACATTAACTTCAGTCGCCCGTACCGTTGAGCTTAATTAATCCTCCCATCCTCTCACTCCGAATCGCTTCCAACCCCGCCACCGTACAGTTTGGACCTTCCTTCGCGGCCAGTTTAGCTTCTGCGCATATTCCTCGCGGCGAATCAAATCACAGAATGACCTCCTATTTCTCTTCGATTACCTCGTCGTCAGCGATCTCCAACATCAGCACGCGGCTCACCTCCCTCCGCCGTGCCATCACGTCCGGAGATGAGGCCGACGACCCAGAAAACGAAGACTGCTCTCACATCTCCAACGTCCTGCGTGCCTACTACACAGAGAAAGGCCGGCCCTTTCCATCATGGCTCCCTCCGGACCCTAAAGCTCCAGCACCCGCACCTTCCCGAACGATCGCAACCACTCAGATCCAGCCAGGCGCCTACGGACACGGTTCAGCGGTCAGAACCTCAGGCCCCGGACGCGGTGGCGGGCTGAGTGATCTATGGGGAGACTCGGGAGCCTCTCAGCAACCACCAGCATCACAAACGGCCAGTCTGCGACGAGGACGTCTGGCACCCGGGAGCGCAGGCGCCCCGCTGTCGATGGTGCACAGCGCTCCCTCTGGCTCAATGGTGACACCTCCCTCGGGATCACCCACACCGCCGACTGCGCATCCGTCCGGGGCACGACCTCTCCCCAGTCAGCGAGCGGGGTCGTATCAGACAATTGCATCAGGCCAGGCCTCTCTTGAGCGGGCTGCGTCTGCGCAGGAGAGACTGCGAGCCCGATTGCATGGAGGGCGGTCGCCTAGCCCGGCCCAGACTCCTCCGGGCGGCAGTCGGCCGGGGTCACCGTATTACGGGGGAGGGGCAGATCCGAGTGTGCGAAAGCCGGTTGGAATACCGCCGGGACGGCGTTAAGAAGGCGGGATTTGGGTGGTTACTGATCAACGGCCAGTAAATGAAGCTGTTACGTCTTAATAGTACTACTAATTTCGAGTCCAACGCTCGAGATGGACATCGCTGGATGGTGCCTGTCTGAGATCTGTTGCGCAGAAGTCTGTACACAGCGTTTGAGCCATTTTGCTTGTTTTATTTTGTAATTATCTCTTCAACATCTTAGAAATAATATTTCTCCTCGGACCGATTTAGTATTCCCAAGTCTCTAAGTGAAACCTTTGGAGGGTCATAGACTCTTCATTACTGCGTACCTCTACAGATTGTAAGTGCCCGATATACACGTGACCTTAACGAGTCCGCCACGGGCTGATTCGTTCCTTGGTTGTTCTTCTCATGGTCTGACTGTGAGCGACACTCACACTAAGCCTTTTGGCACGGGATCTTAACCCACCCCGGCGAATGAAAGTCTCGGGTGCATTTCGAGGGCAAGTACTGCCTTTCTTGGCTGATGCATCTCGGGATGTGTCCGTCTTGGTGGCGTGCAGCGAGCAATCAGCATCCCGGTTCTTGACCGGACGATCGATTTAACAATTGGACATTTCGGGATCGACCAGCATTAAATGCCTCATTCACATTAGCTAACTTAACACATCTCGGAGTTTTCGACCGCGGGTTGATGATGCAATTGGATGGAATTCCACCGAAGTGTCTCCGAGATTTCGGGATGGCTGCGTGGTACAGTGCACGAGTGGGAGGTCAAGATTTTGCTCTGACTGGCTACGTACGGTGTGCCTGCGGTTGCACTACATGAATCCAAGTTTTCTAGTTGCGTCCTGAGTCGTCCAGTCCACTACTCTTCTCCAGACCTCCACACCAGCCCGACTCTTTGCCTCCACGGGGATTCGTCTCGTTCCCCAACCTTTGCTGCTTCAAGCCTCCGCATACTTTGCACCATTACCAAGTATGTAGATGGCGCTCATTGAGTTCATCGAGTTGAGTTTATCCCTGCTAGTCGAAATCATCGATTGGAGGGGAGAGACTGACTGACTCAAAATGCCTCCAGGATGAGCACCACACCACCAATTGGTCATTGGCCGTGATGATCATTCCTTAAGCTTCGGCCATTCCTCCCCACCGTTCCAGAATGCTTCTTGCTGTTGTAAGCCTGTAGATAGTCTACGGAGTAATCTGTTCCATCGGTTGCGCTGCCCGTTCTTTTCCCTGGTTTTCTTTCTGTCCCCACTTCCCCGTTAGAGCCTTGTCCCGCTTGTTTCGTGCCCTGAACCCGTGATGACCGTCACTCCGCGGCCCAGGACTATACCCCGGGATGCCGTGCCCGTATAAATATCCCCCGGGTTTCTTCTTCTCTTTTCCCTCGTTGTCAATCATTCTTCTCTCCAACGTCCTTTCTGCAGGCGGTTGTCCTCTTCCTATCTAGAAGGCTGTCTTTGTAGGGAACGGCAGGTCCTCCCCTCTTCTCTTTCTACTTTAGGTGAAGCCTTCCATAGGTGAAGGTCTTCTGTACACATACCTACTGCCTCTGGCTGCCTCTCAATACTCTACTTCATTTTATAATCATTCTCCTGCGTTGCCCGCCATGGCAGTCAAAGATGTCGAGGTCCCTCTCGACGACCACAAGGAGGTCGCCGAAGAGATGGATGATATTCGAAATGATACCAAGTCCGAGGCTTTCAACGAAGCTGCCATGGATGCTGAGCTCCAGCAGCTGGAAGAACAGCTTGGTGCCATCAAGAAGTCTCGGTTTGAGCTCACTTTCGCCAACCCCGCTTACTTCACTTATGTTCTGGTGGCCTTTGCATCTATGGGTGGTCTACTCTCTGGTCTGGACCAGTCGCTGATCAGCGGTGCGAACCTCACCATGCCCAAAACTTTGCATCTGTCCGCCTCGCAAGCTAGTTTGGTCAACTCCGGTATGCCCCTCGGTGCCGTCGGCGGTGCCCTGATCCTTAGTCCTTGCAACGAGTACCTTGGTAGGCGCATGGCCATCATTGTCTCCTGCATCCTTTACACTATCGGTGCTGGACTCGAAGCCGGTGCCATTAACTTTGGCATGATGTTCGCCGGCCGTTTCGTTCTTGGCATGGGAGTCGGTCTTGAGGGCGGTACTGTCCCTGTCTACGTCGCCGAGTCTGGTAAGCTTCCTTCCTTTCCGCTTCAATCTTTTTGGCGAGGGCTGTTACTGACTGATGTCTAGTCCCCGGTAAGATCCGTGGTAACTTGGTCTCTTTGTATCAGTTGAACATTGCTTTGGGTGAAGTCCTCGGCTATGCGGTGGCCGCGATGTTCTTCGGTGTCGCTGGTGACTGGCGCTACATTCTCGGCTCTTCCCTGGTCTTCTCGACGATCCTTCTTGTCGGCATGCTGTTCATGCCTGAGAGCCCCCGTTACCTGATGCACAAGGGAAGAACGGTCGAGGCGTATGGTGTGTGGAAGCGCATTCGTGGCTTCGATGCTTACGAATCCAAGGAGGAGTTCCTGGGCATGCGCCAAGCTGTCGCCGCGGAGAACGAGGAACAAGCCAACACCAAGAAGTGGGCCTGGCTGGACTTTTTCACCAACGGCCGGGCTCGCCGCGCCATGATCTATGCCAACATCATGGTATTCCTCGGTCAATTCACGGGTGTGAACGCAGTTATGTACTACATGGGCGTCCTGATGACAAAGATCGGCTTCGACGACCGTACCAGTGTTTATATGTCACTCGTTGGAGGTGGAGCCCTGTTGATCGGTACTATTCCCGCAGTGCTGTATATGGAGCGGTTCGGCCGACGCTACTGGGCCAACGTTATGCTTCCTGGTTTCTTCATCGGTCTTGTGCTCGTGGGAGCTGGCTACGCCGTCGACTACAATACTTATCCTGCCACGGCTGAGGGTCTCTATCTGACCGGTATCATCCTTTACATGGGCTTCTTCGGTTCCTATGCCTGCTTGACATGGGTCATTCCCGCCGAGGTGTTCCCTACCTATCTCCGTAGTTACGGCATGACCACTGCGGATGCCAACCTCTTCCTGTGCTCCTTCATTGTCACCTACAACTTCACCGCGATGATGAACGCAATGACTCGTATCGGTCTCACTCTTGGTTTCTACGGTGGCATCGCCGTCCTGGGTTGGTTCTACCAGGTCTTCTTCATGCCCGAGACCAAGAACAAGACCCTCGAGGAGATTGACGAGCTTTTCTCCAAGCCTACCTCGGTTATTGTCAAGCAGAACATCAAGAGCACCGTTGAGATCATGCGCGACCTATCTCACTTGCGCTTCAGAAAGGTCTTTAGCCCTAGTCCTAGGCTATAGACAGGCTTTCCGGGTTTATTGTGCGTGTGACAAGTGTTATATTGTCTAGACCTGCAGTATATGCATGTCATGAGTTTTAGATGATGATGATGATGATGGGATATGTATTCAAATTGTATATATATATACATTAAGCTTACATCAAGCTACTAGGAATCATTAAAATTGTTTCCTCAATTTACTACCACAGTTCCTTCACTCCTTGGTAAATAATATCCCCATTGTTTTGAAGGTACACATGAATGTGAGCTACGATCGTGATAGAGACGGATATGGAACCATTAGAGTTAGGTTATGTTCTTCTGGCTGCCAATATAGAGACAAACAATACAGCCAACATAGTTTGATGCCAGATAGGACAAATCTAACATATAGTAGCTCCGATAATCGGGAACTAAAGGTGGTTGCATTTCAAGGACGGCAATTGACAAAGATTTGAGGATGGCATGGTGTTTCAAATATACAACCCTAAATCTACTCTACTGTACAGTATATAATGTCTATACACCTCCCCCACCATCATTATGCGCAACAACAGTCACTTCGACTTGCTTCCGAATACCAGCCGACCCCGCGCCACTGTCCTGTCTACTCCCACCCGTCTCCACCCCATCAAGACTATTCCGACTACCGAGTATATGGTCAATACTCGCCCCATCATCGCCCCGATTCCTGGTAGAAAGTATCCCACGCAACCGCGAATCAGTCTTCCGATGCGAGGTGTTATGTTTCTGTGCTGTGACTGACGTCGTCGCCCCGCGGGTCCCCGTGAACGCTGCACCCAGCTCGTACGAGCGAGATCGCTGTCCGCTACTCGTCATATAATGGAACCCCGAGAGAATAAGAGAGCGGAGACACGGCAGCGACGCGGTGATGATCACCAGGTTTGCTTCGATGTATCCCCAGCGGAGGAGGTTGATTGTGCCGCCTAGCGCGTCGTTGTGTATCTCGGGGAGCCAGATGGTTTTGGCGACAGCGGCGGCCATGGCACTGTTTTTGGTATTAGCAAGCAGGACGAAGAAGGAACGGGCACGAGCAGAGCAGGGCAGGACAGGGCAGAGGAGGCTAAGGCTTACACCAGGCCGCAGCTCATGAGGGTCACCAAACTGATTTTGATCCCTAGTTTGAGCTTGAGGTGCCAGAAGATATAGGTGGGGACAACGGCCAGGTAGAGATCGACGAAGATGTTGAATACTGAGGGGCATCCGTCAGTTCGCTTTCGCTGAATGTTAGGAAATCGGCTATTGGACATACCACTCTGGAAATAGCCAAAGTTAACCTGGATGGAGTCCGCCGCACAGGTCCCAGCAACGTTGTAATCCCAAAGCATCGACACGGGCGTGCAAGACGCAAACATCAAGATGATGACCACAGAATTGAAGATCACCTCCATCACGGCCAGGGCCGTCAGGATGATGCGCTGCCATTTCTGCCCGCCCAGGATGGCCAGAAGGTACAACACAAAGGCGGCGCGGCCGACGGCTGTACAGAGGATCAGGAACGCCTGTCCTAAGATGTAGAATTTGCGACCCGTCGTCGCGTCAGGTTCGGGGACGGTTTCGTCCGGCAGGCCGTATCCGTAGTTGACTGCAATGGTGTTCAGGGAGCCGCCGATGATACCTAGGATCTAAAGCGGCCGTTGTTACGAAAGGGCTCTCTGTAGTGCGCAGGAGCAATACGTACCAGCGCGGAGATCATCACAACAT